ACACTGTCCCTTCTTGTTATACCAATTTCCTCCTGCAACCACCCCTACACCTCCAGGTAGCAGAGAAGGGTGAGAAAAAGCCAATAAAGACCAAGGCACAATGAACAAACACTGGGGTGGAATAGCTCCAGATGCTCAGAGAGATGACAATGATCTCACTCTAATGAGCCAGGGTGAGCTCACCTACAGCATTAATGAATGCCTGGCAACTGGCAAAGGCCAGCTGATTTTCCTCACAGTTCACCGGCAGCATATTTGAAGTCTCTGTGCAAACAATACACCCACAGGACAGTCCAAGGCCCTCTGCAGAGGGTAACTGGCAATTACTCTGTGGGCTTCTGTCACTTTGATCTCTGGGTCGTGACCTTTGCTTTCTTGTGATCTTCAAAGCCCAGATTGTAGATTAGCTGGAGCATGCTAGCTGGGTTATGTAAGCCACAGGTTTTACAACTCCTGTTGGGTGGGAAATGGTGGGGACCAGGCGGCCACAGACTGCGGAGGGTCCCTCCCTCTTTCCCCTCGGCTGAGTGCTACAGACACTGGGCAGGCCCCAGCATTACTCCCTACCAGGGAACAAAGAAAGGGTGTCACGTTTTAAATAATTTAGAGTTACAAGGAACACAGAGGAACCTACTGTGGAGGACGGCAAAGGAGAAGCCAGCCAGAGACTGGAGTAGCAGGAGAGAGTACACAACACAGGCTTTGGTGACCAAGGGCAGTTAAGAGCCCAGAAACCCAGCTTCCTTAATGGAAAGTTGAAGTCTAGTATTTGTGGATCACTGTTGACTTTTAGGCCACCCTTCTTTCTGCGGAGAAAAAGAGAATACATGGCAAAGGAAGAAGGCATGCAACAGACCACTCTGAGCACCTAAGTTTCCCAGACTTGAATGGTTACTCTGGCCAGTGTTGAAGTCCACAAGAGGCCAGGATTTCTAAGCACCATGGCAGGCCTTGCCTGGCCACCTTCTCCCTACGCTGCTGCCGCCTCCATTTAATAATCACCCGCAAACAGCAGCACGACCTCCCCACAGCAAAGCAGGGGCGGGACCAGGCTCCTTTGCTTAGCACAAACTCTGGCAAATGGCAAAGGGAACCCCAGGCACAGTTGTGCTCCTGCCCCAGCAGGGCAGGACTCTACTCAACAAGTCTGTAGTGTGTTCGTGCTCATATAGAAATTTAATGAGCCCGTTTTACTGTGGGGATAAGTGCCAAGAAAATTCAACAAGATCCACAGGGGGTAATGAGAGAGCCAAAGGGGGAAGAGGAGAAAAGACTCAGCAAAAACCTGAACATCTGTGATGCCATTTCCAACAGCTACATAAATCTAGTCACTTCCCATTTCTGGTCCAGTGGTTGGCCACAGCGTGACCTAAAACTGGGCTGACCTCTTTGAAATCAGCATCTCCCATGGAAATGAAACAAGAGACGCACTTGTTTTGATGTATGGCTGTGTGACATATTATAAATATTACATCACATAACTACAGAGGATGCCAATCAATAAGAAATTTTTTTAGACAGCACTAAATGAACCATGGGTTCTTGCTTCTGAATACACTCCTTTAAGGTTCCTACTATTGCTTAAATGATTAATAGAAGACATATTGTCAGAAAATGTACTTAAAGTGAAAAACAGTAAACTGTAGAAATATTATTCATTTTTTTAAGCAATTTTCTAGTAAAAATGTCACATAAATTTACATAGAGGCTGCACTCTTAGGCTCTCAGTAATAGCTAGAAAGAAGGTAGACCTCATACTTTGTGGATGAAGGGCCGGAAAAATATTTTACCAAAAGAAAAAAAAAATGAGCAGCTGCACTGCCGTGTATAAACACAAGTGCCACAGGAACTCTGAATTCAAAAGTCATATTGTGAAACCCTAAAATTTCTCAGGGGCAAATGAAGCAAAAATTCCAGGATAATAAATCAGAGCTGCTTACAGATCATAGAATGGAACTGCATCATGCATACATTTGGGTTGTTCTTTTCCCAAATACAAGGGTCAGTGCTTATCAAATCAACAATGAAACATAAAAAATAAATAAATAAAGGAATAAAAAATGTAAACTCGCTAGGGAATCGATCCACCACCTCACTGCACAATCATGCTGCACGGCAAATGTGTGAAAGTGTAACCAGGCAGACACACATTTCACTTTCCCTCTGCTGTTCACTGCTGCTTCTCTCAGAGTGTAAGCATCCCACTGCCATTGTGGGTGACAGGGATTTTCTAAGATAATGCGGCATCGATGTGATTTTGGGGTGCCTGCAAGTTTCCTACCTAGGATCCAGCCTCGTGTGACAGCTTGGCCACAAGTGCACTAGCAAACTACCTTCCCAGCTCCTTCTCACATCCTCATAGGGAAACAGGCCTCAGACGGGGAGCAATGCCCAGACTAGCCCATAAGATGGACTACTCCCATGGAATCAAGGACTCACCCAAAACTCATGACCCACAGCAGCGCTTTGAGTCCAAATCATAGTCCCTTGCTTATTAACTGCAGTTATTGGCATCCAAATGGATCCAATTCCAAATGAATAGTAGGCATCTGAGGTACCAGAGATCCCTGCATCTACCCCAAAATACCAAGCTGCTGAGTAGGAAAGTAACTTCAAACCACCTCCAGCACTTACCAATCCCCATTTTCCATGTTCAGCACATCAGGTGTTGGTGAGGCTTCAAGAGACCAGAAGACTTGGCCCTTACCCACTGGAAGTATACACCAGATGTTAAAATATATGAAGTAGGGGGAGAAATATACAGGATGGGGTATAGACTACATGGAGTGTGACCGTACAGGAGAAGCATAACTGCTTGAGAAGAGAGCATCAGAATGCCAGAGTCAAATGACCATTACAATCCTCAGTAGAGGGTTTTGTTAGATTTGCCACTAAATGCATGAAGATGCCTTGAGTGATTCAGAGGCCACTGCTCAAGGTCTTCACACAAGATCTTCCCATTTGGCCCCTTCCCCTACGGTTCTTAGTATTTTTTCCAATGTGACCAGTTAAAATACCCTCCCCCAAAAGTATTAGCTTTTCTTTTCCTTTCACAACCTTGGAACTGAAAACTTCCCACATTCTCTCTCACTCTAGAGGGAAAATAAAAACAACAGAAACTTGCCTACAGGCAGGAGACTTTTGACTTTATGAATGAATGATAAATGAAGGTAGGTGATTATGTATGTGGATATATATGGATATACAGATAGATATGTATACATATATATGGATACGTATTTCTACATAGATACATATATAATATTTATTAGGTCATTTTAAAGAATTAAGCAATTAAGTCTGAAGAAAAAAAGAAAACAAGAGAATTTCTCCATTTTGCTTTATTAAAAATCACTTGATGCCCCAAAATGTACCTTAAAAGAAGTTGCTACAAGAAGAGAACACATGTTTTAAGTGACAGCTTCACAACTGAAATCAGACTATTAAATGGTTCAAATTTGTTAAGAGTGTTTTAAAAGAAAATGAAGTTCTAAGTGGTTAAGCAACTTAAAATACTGACTTAGAAATTTAGATGCATTCACCTGCAGGACATTAACCATATTTCTGTTAACAGAATTCACATTCAAACCTGTAGCATCACATCTCAAATGAAAACCTTCATCATGGAGAAAGGTTTAACAATTTTTTTAAAGTAGGGTTAGAGTTCTGCTCTAAGAGGGTTTAAGACTCATCTACAATTCCTAAAAATTAAACAAGAAACCTAGAAAGTAATTTTAAAATACAAAAATCGATTAAAAGAAATTGAACTGAATTCCTGTTGTAGCCTTACTTACTTATGTGTATGTTATATGTCTTTTTAATCAACAATATTCAACAGCCTTCAGTGTTTCTTACAGCTTTACCCTTATACAAAATGAATGCCCCAATATATACACACATATATATATATATATATATATATTCCCTGATGGGTCACCACAGATTTTAATACGAGTCCCAAGAGAATAAGTTCCTCTCAAACCACTATCCTCTTTCCTCACTGCCTCCAAATCTATTTCCAGCATTTTTCTTTTTTTCCTTGCTTTTCATTGTTTCTCTCTCTCTCTCTCTCTCCCTGCATCCCTCCCACCCTCCATTCCTTCCTTCCTTTCCTGTCTTCCTTTCTTCCCTCCCTCCTTTTCTTCTCTCCTTTCCTTCCCTCCTTTCTCCCTCCCTCACACATTGATTTAGAAGGCATGTTAATGAGAGCCTATATCACAATGCAGAGAACTCCATGCATGAAAAAAAAATCTTTAAAAACATTTATAAAACAATCATCAAGAAGGAGAGCACACAGACATCAAAATGAGGAATTAAAGTGTAAAAAAAAGTGAGTAAGGTAAGGAGACTTCCTGAGAGAGATGAGTTTGGATGACGGGTTTCAAAGCAGGTGGTTTAGAAGTAGAGAAGAAAGAACAGAATTTTACCTGGAGTCCATCCAAGTGCATGGCTGGAGGATACTGAAGTGCAGCTTCTGGTGAAGAGGAAAGAGCTGTGGGACCTTCTCTTGGGAATATATGTGCGCTCCCTAAACTCTCTCTCCAAAAAATAACCCTGGGGCAGACCATGAAAGACCTAACAACATAGAGAAAGGCCCGAACTACAATCAATCTACTGTCGATTTTGTAAATAAAGTTTTATTGGGACAGAGCCAAGCCCATTCATATACAAGTTATTTGTGGCTACTTCTGCACTGCAAGAGCAGAGTTGATTCATTGTGATAAGAGTCCCCCTGACTTGAGAAACCTAAAATATTTACTATTTGGCTCTTTATTTTAAAAGTTTATTAACCCCTGATCTAGACCACACAACAACTTTTCATCTTTCTTGGATCTTATGATCTCAAAAAGGGAGAGAATACCTTTAAGTTTCCAAAAGTGAGTTTAACGTTGTCACAGGAAGACCTTAGATGCCGGACATGAGCTATGCAGCCCGTAGCATGATATCATCCCCTCAAAGTGATATAGTTTCCTTTCTTCTGCCATATGGCAGGCACTCACCTGTATCGCTTGTAGTCCTCCTCATCCTTTTCCAAGCTGACCAGCTCGTTGGGACATGCCACGTTGCCCAGCAAGCTGAGGTACTCCAGAGCTGGTGTCACTTCCGCCAGGTGATTGAGCAGACACTCCAAATCAGTGATGTGACAAAAGTTAAGAATCTTGGTCTCAGAAGACCAAAGGCTTAGGGAGAAGTATAGACCATACGCAACAGGCACAGCCCAGCAGCTGACATATCTAGTGCAGTCCTGTGCGGCGGCTGAGTAAATGCTGACGGACCAAGCTGTGAGTGTAGGGCATTACTAGCTTTTCATCCCCAGTGGGGGAAACAGCCCAACTGTTCTCTGGATAGGTAAAGCTATATCCATATAACTTGATGGAGAATGAATACATTTATTTTTTTACCCCTTTCTTTCCACTATGCTTTCTTTTTAATTATAAAAGGATATATTTCTCATAGTGAAATATTTTCATCGCACATTCATAAAGTTTATTTTTTATAGTGGTAAACACAAGAAATTATTTCTAAAAGCCTCATTAAAAGTATACTCTCCTCCTCTCTAGTAGGAGGAATGTATCACTGAAACAAATGTGAATGGCCTGGATGTACACAGGGATTGGCTCTTGTAATCTGAGATCCTGCAGAGGGGCTAAGTGAATGTTCAGAAACTTTGCTGGTACCCATAAAGCACCAGGTTGGGAAAGAAAGAAGAAAAGATAAGAACAAATGACAACCCAAGTAAACTAGTTTAGGTTTTGTGCAACTGGACATGTTGAAATGCATTTCCTGAGAGTCTATCATAATCTAATGCTCTGTGAAGAGGAGAATGAAAGAGAAAAGATGAAGATGGTGAGATTATCCATGAGCTATCTCTTACTGGGATCCACTCCCCACTCAAGACCAACACTGAGATCCCCGGACCAAATATGCAAGAGTCACAGATACATGGAATTGCAGGTACTGCAAAGGATTTAATCACCTAGTTTGCATATCAACTCTTGCATTGAGCTCCATACATATGAGCTGAGTCCTAGGCAAAGCAATGATTACGTAGGCCATGAGTGGAAGCCATGATTACCAGGAGGGTATGATGAGTTATCCAATGTCAAAGGACAGGATGGGGTTCTCATCACAGGAATAGCAGCAGAGTATAGAGAGGTTAAGATATAAAGACAGATGCTACCTATAAGAGTTAAAGACTCAGAATAGTTTCTAGAACTGACACCCACTTAGACCTAAGTAAAAAGGCAATGTCAAAGAAAAGAATTGCTTTCACCTCAGGATGTTATCTAGCCTTGGGATTTTACCCAGATTTGGTTTCACTTCTTTAGAGAAGAATGAACTTCAAATCTACCCTTTGTTTGAATCCAGTTTCTAACGTTTATTGCCAAGGGGTCACCCCAAGATAGCACATTCCATTTATGACAACCACAATGGTTTTCCTTTCCTCTGGAATTGGATCTTCCTTAATTTCTTGGAGTCACAGACAGAAGCATTCTTCTCTTCTACGTGATGAGCCTTTGGATATTGAAGTTCACATGTCTTCCTTGAGTCTTTTATTCTCCAAGCTATGTTTCTACAAGCATTTTTCCTACAGCATGCTCTGCCTCCATCACATGTAAGAAGAAAAATCTGTATCCTGGGTGGGAGCAAGAAAGAAACAAGAAGAAGCAGAGCAGAAGCCAGGAAGAAAAAGACTGGCAAAAGAGCTCACCCACTGATAGCCTCTATTTGCCAAGATACTCCCCACTGCCCAAACAAAGAAAAGTGGACCCTGAAGTTTTCAATTTCAAATCTTTTACACATAACATCCAAGACTGGCCACAAGAAACTCTGGAATGAGGATGATGGGAAGAGAAATTCATGTAGAAGAACACAGAAGGTCCCAGCAGGGAGGTAAGGCTGGAAGTGTAGGGGGTAGGTAGCTAGGGATCAAAATGCCATTATATTTCATCATGAAGACAAAACACAGTGAGAGCTTTTTAAATTAAAGCTCAATGATCACACTATTTAAGAAAATCATTTAAATCTAACCAGTTAAAATGACAGTGAATAATTCCCAGGAAAAATCAACTTTTCTAGCATATTCTATCTTTGTATGCTTTGCAGTCATTGCTACATGGAAAAAAAATAAGAGAAAAGAAAAAATTCAATAAAAGGGGTCTTATCACCACTCTTCCAGTACTGTCCGTAAACCCAAGCAGGGTCACTTCAGCAGGCCCTGTGCTTTGGAGTACCTTCCCCAAATTTTCAATGTCTGCAATCAATACCCAGACTAGCCAGGGACCAACAGTGTCATTTGGGTGGGTTACACAGTGCCCTGATCTGGACCTTCAGGCTTCAGGCCCAGTCCTGGTTTCTCTGCTTCGGGCTTCATTCTAACCTTCTACCCTACGCATAGAACCCATCAGATGGGACACTCTGAGGAGTACTAGGACTCATGTCTATCGGGTCATCAGAAAGCCTTCAGACCAACCCCTCACTGCAGGAGGGGCAGCCAGGCCAGCTGATCGCTTCTGATAGCCAGAGCAGTATTTCCTCTGCAGAATTTCAAGAAATTGGGCTTCCAAAATGGGGCCAACTCAGGGGATTCAGCTCAGTGGTTCCGCCACTTGCCTCCCAAAACAGGGCCAACTCTACTGATTTGGAATAAGCTATTTATGCAGATGAGGGATTAAGAAGACTAGGGGAAGCCCTCCCTACCATGGATGGAAAGGTTGAAGTTAAACCTGTTTCCCTCTTAGGGCAACTCCTTAAAGTTAAACCTGTTTCCCTCTTAGGGCAACTCCTTAAAGTTTTGCTTTTACGTCTACTGCAAGAAAATACGAACATGTAGAACTATGACTCAAAACCAGCATGCTTATTTTAAATTGAGGAAACACTGGGCAACTAACTTGGATTGACATTTCAGTCTTTTCTCAATAGCATGCTACCTTCCATCCAGGAAGTAGGCCTACTTTAATTTGAGTATATCTTTTTGTGCTGATTTAACATAAAGTTAGTAAGACTTAAGTGTGAAGGGCTCCTTGGTTGAACAGGGCCTTTCCAAGGTCTTAGGGAGGATGGCCCGACTAATAGAATCACGTGGTTACATATTTTTATAAAATTTGCAAAAATTGTTTAGCTACATTTGGTTAAGGTCGCTGTCTTTCTCCACCACATTTCCCCTTGAATTAGATGATAATAAGAACGGTTATGGGAATCCTGGAGATCTGGCAGAGGAATTTTGTAGGAGTGACAGTTAACTATGACTTAGTGGGGGTATAACTGTGTGGTTTGCAGTTATTTCTGTGTCTTGTTAAATTACTATAAAAGTACCAGTGAGAATGGCCTCCTATAATATTCTCACCAACCACCAATATTCAATGACCAACGTAAAACTGATAATATAATGGTGAAGAGCTGTTCAATTCAAAGAACATTTAAGATATTGTTTATCCAAGCACACACCTCTATCTTGAAATGTTCTGAAACCTTTTACATACAAAAGAAACATGTGAGATTTTCTCCAAATCTAATAATGCTAACAGTTTCACTAATAATGTAGTAGTGAAATTACCAATGAGTGGTTGTGTTACTCAGTGTTTCACTGTTATAATGAAACACTTGAGATAATTAACGTATCAAGAGAAGAGGCAATTTTGGCTTACAGTTGTACAGGCTTAGTCTGAGACTGGGTAAATCCATTGCTTTGGGCTCCTGATGAGCAGCAGGAGTGTGGAATGGAACATTCATTCACCTCACGAACCCAGAAGCAAAAGGAGAGAAAGGAAGAAGTCTTGGCCCCAAAATTTCTTTTGAGGGCACACCCATACTGGCATAAGGGTGTCCCACTAGACTCCAAATCTCAAATGTTCTACTATTCCCAAGTGTCCCACTCTGGGGACAGGGTCTTTAACACATTTTACAGGTTGCTTACCCAAACCACAGCAGTGACGAAACATAAACTATTTAAACTATTAAAAAATAAAAATCAATTTTCAATCAACCCTGCTAAAGGAGAGAATTATCTTTCTAGTCTTGCTGCAGAAAATATTATAACATTTCATCATATAATGAAGTTCTAAAGGTATGTGCTGGGGAAAAAAAGTTCTGATACAAGCATAGCTGGTATAAAAAGATTGCTTCTTTTCTAGGTATTTTGACATCCATGGTACTTAACAACTTAAATTTTTTTTCAGTTTGCTTTGATATACTTTTATTCCAAATAAACATTCTTTTCATAGCAAATTTTATATTTGTAATTTTGTAGGCTTTGTTTTTAAGAGGGCTCCATGAAATTATTTAAGTTTCACATTCTACAAAACTCAGAGGATCTGTCCTCTAAGCAGGAGGCCAACGGGGAGATGAGCATCAAATGCCCTGGTCATGGGATTTCTTGGGCAAAGGACCTATGGGCCCTAGGAAGGTTTAGCTAGCTAGTGCCAATAAAGCCAAGGGCCTTCTGGGAGCCTGCCTTATTTAGGATATTTTGTGTGGCAGAAGCTTCATTGCTCTCTGCCTTTCAACAACCCCTCAATGATAAAGCAGGCTGATCCAAGTGGTGCCCCCTGCCCCCGGATCCACACCAGACAGGAAGCCCCAGCACCTCCTCCCCACATGCTCTGGACCAGCCCTTCATTTCTGTGTTGATTCCACCACCAGAACATGAAACAGGAGAAGGAGCTTTAATTGGCTCCTCAGTCTCCTGGGTCAGCAGGGACAAACACAGTCCTGTCTTGCCTGATTGTGAGTTGAGATAGAACTTGGCACATTCATTTTTGTCAAGTTGCGTGGAAAATTGAGCAGAGGCAATCAGTGGAGGAAACTCAGTGTCTATGGTTAACCAAGACTACAGCAGTAGCGATGGATTCAGGGCTTCTCCTAAGGGCGCCTTTTCTTCCTTTTTTTAAAAAAACAGAAACAATGTGAAGCTACCTGGCATGGTTTCAACTCTCTCCAGCCGGATTCTCGGCACACACCTGGTTTCCCTCATCAAGTCTTCTCCGGAGGACTTGGCATTTAAATCTTTGTCAGCGTTGTCTACGGAGAGTTGCCACGGTGGAGCCCAGCTGTCACGGCTAGGCTTGCCAAGGGAGACTTTCTGTGGAGGGTCCAAGATCAAAGCAGCATCTTGCTTTGCGAGTTCAGAGTAGGAGGGAG